TTGCTCCTGCAAAGGCACATGTAGCATGAAAATCTGGGTGGCTGCCTCCAGGCTGTGGGGGTGTGTTTGTAGGACTGACTCTGAGCCCCTGCCCCCCGGTACGTATTCACATTCACACAGTCGCAGCGTGCTGTGGCCCAGTTGGTTTAAATCATTACTTGTCACTTCTGTTGACTCTTCTGCTTCCTCAACTCCTGCCCTTCCAATTCCTCTAGCCACCACTCCAAAGAGACCACACTGATTTTGACAACTGTGACTACTCAAACTATCAGCCAGAGATAAACATCCTTTTGAAAGGGAAGGCAACTAGGAATGAAAATAGAGTAGCATCTGAACTTAAGGGAGAAACAGAATTATGCTTTAAACTAATCATCACTAGTATTACTTTTTTATATGTAGAAGGACCAGATGTTAATGGGTGAAAGCAGTGGAAAAGCTGTTGAGGGGGGACATTCATGACAGCAGGGCTACATCTTTTGGCCCATTGTTTTATGCTTAGTGGCTGGTGGGATGCTGTGAAGCTCTATTAATACGGGTTTTTTTCTGTCACTGGAGCAGGTTCTTCAATGCACATGGATCAGCCTTGCTGCCAAGCTCTCTATGACTTTGAGCCAGAAAATGAAGGCGAGCTTGGGTTTAAGGAAGGGGACATCATAACTTTGACCAATCAGATTGATGAGAATTGGTATGAGGGGATGTTAAATGGAGAGTCTGGCTTCTTCCCCATTAATTATGTTGAAGTGATGGTTCCCTTGCCTCAGTGATTGTGTCATTCAAGCTGTGAACATGATTTCACGACTGAAATGGATTCACAAATGTTCTGTCAGTGTGGCATTCTGTGAAAGCCTGGCTATTTGACTGACTTACTGACTTTTGTATGCGTCTTTTTAAAATGTATTTATTTTATATTCAAAAAAATTTTACCTTCCCCGATACCATCAACCTGCAAAAAAACCCATACCCAGTTTTTTTGCTTTGTGCCTTGAAGATCACTGTATGAAGTATTTACTGGTAGCTCACTGTTGCTCCAAAAATGCATTTCCTTGCTATTATTGTATGTGGATTTTTTTTTTTTTAATATTTGGCTGCAATGATTTTACTGTTGAAAACCATTTTTAAAAATACTGTAAGTGAAGCTAACTGTAACCAGTTCCTAAGTTACTGATGTCATTGAGCTCTCCTCATCTATCACACTGTAATTTATTGTGAGCAAGTTAATCCATGTTTCACACTGTATGTTGACAAAAGGCAAAGTGGTTGTTGTCAATATTATGATGTTGTTGTACTAAGTACAAGTTCTCAGCATTGAAAATTCCTATAATTTACTGACCAAACTGAATAAATATTTCTGTGGGATAAGAACAGTGGTTGCTGCTTCTATTCCTATAGTTCTGGCATTTGTTTTTGAGCTGGAGGTCACTTTTGCTAAATAGATCAGCTTTCAGTGAAGAAAACAATGCTGCATTAAAAATGCTTGAATGACGCCAAAGCATTAGTTTTGTGACACCTCAGCCACTGGAATTTTGATAGTCTTGCTCTCTCCCTACTGATTGCGTAGCATTTATAATGCCTATTAAAATTTTCTTCTAGCAGGAGGATGAGGAAAAATTCCTTTGAACTAAGTACAAACTGATCCTAGCTCTACAGGGTTTGTATAGAACTCCATTGAGATAAATAGGTGAGTATCACTGGTGACTACTGCAAACAAATGAAAAGTCAATACACTTCTACTGTTTTTATTTATTTGAAAGGGATAGAGAAAGAGAAGGCTAGGTGGAAAAGGAAAGACATGCTATAACTAAAAAAATATGCCTCAAAATGAAGGACAGACTCAGGCATCTTAAGTACTATCAAAATGAAGATAAAATTAATTTTTGTTAGCCTTCTGCTTTGCTTAAATGCAGATGTAGTAATGACCAAAAAATTCAGCAGCCCCAGAGGAACATGTAATCTTTTGCCAGTTGCTCTCTGTACAAGACAGAGAGTGATAAGAAGGGAGCTGAACTCTTTATGGGCAAACTGGCTTGAATCCAGCTTCAGCGTTTCAAGCTCTACTTGGTTCTGTAGTCCAGTTAAAACAGCATTCCCTGGAGAGGAACACATTTCATGTGTATCACAGGTGCAGTAACTTTTCTATCTAAGAAGCATAAATAGCCCCTGACTGGCTATCAAAACCATGGCTTTCTGGTTTCTCTCATCTCTGGCCTTGACTTGCACAATGATCACAAGAGAAGCAGAAGGTTATTCTTTGCAGCTTTGGCTACAGCCTGCTACTTAGGGCACATCATCTCACACTTTGGACTTGCTCATGTAAAGAAGAAAATTAATCAGCACTTTTCCAAATTCATAGGCAAGTACCTAGTAGCTATTAGAGCAGCAACATGGAAAGTAACTTGTCCTGACCTAGTTTTTGAATGAAAGTAGCTATGATGTTCTTAATACAAAATGTGTGGGGCAACTGTCAAAGGTTTAAGGATTTGGGATTCACAGCTGCTTTTGCTTTATCAGAGAGGCCTTACCAGTCATATCTTGACGTAGCAAGCAAGAAAAGGGGCATTGAAATCTCTTTTACCTCACCAGAATTCCCTAGAGGAAAGAATTACATGTGCGCACACACACATATATAAAAATAAAGGTTTGAATTCTCAGTACACTTTACAGTAGGCAGCTTGCCATATAGCATAGAGCTCCTGGGCGGCTGCAACAGATGTCTCATCTAACAGAAGTAGCTATTGCAAAAGTAGCAAGCTGGAAGCAAGTCAAGAGGGCTCTATTGTTATTGATTAGGATAAAGTATATAGAGACAGCATAGGAAACCAACCATCTTTAAGGTTTGCTAGCAGGAGGGCAATTTGCACAACAGAATCCATTGTACATCAGAGCATTAATTGTTTAACGTGCCCTTTTAAGATTGTATGCTAAGAACAAGTTTCATAAACTGTCTAGTAGGTTGTGTAGTTGAATAAATATAAGTAGATCTTATTTCCTGGACCATTGATGGTGGTTACCAAACAACATCCTGTACCACTGCTATTTCCTATCAAGATTTGTACATTAGTTCAAGTCTTTCATGGTGGTTGTTTAATACCATCCTTCCCTTGAAGGGGAAAGGCTTCATGAAAAGGTTTCATTGGAAATACGGAAGATTCCTCTTAGATCAAATTCATAGCAGTTCAGCTTCAGTTGAAGAACCAAATGGTAAATATAAGCAGGGCAGCATGGTGTATTTCTGAAAGTTTCTTCAGTCCACAGGGAATCTTTCCTAAATACACCAGTTTTATTGCTTCAAAGTGTTTTGAGCCACTCAAGATCAATGAGCAAACAGAACTTTTATTATTTAACCTGCAAATAAAGTCCAAGACTGCTTTTATATACATGAAAAATACCTTTAATAGTTTAAAAAGTTTAAGGAATCAAGATAAATAAGCAAGGTTATTATAGCAGCAGCTATTTCTATGTGGGCCATAAGGTACAACAAGAATTCAGATCTGCTAAAATGCAAGTATTAAACCAGCATCTACTCTTGCTGTTTCAAAACTAGAATTTTTAAATAAATTTTTTTATAACTTAAGATTGAGTTTAAGCTAATATAAGGAAAGCCTCACCTTAACAACTGCATCCTAACACAGAACAGGTCTTAAATTCAGAATCAAATACTTCGGCAAGGTAAGAGGCAGTAAAAAAAACTATTCCAGCATTTGGAGCCATCTGCAGTCTCAGCTGCTCCTCTCCCTTCAGCTACTCACCTCCCCTCATGCTCTTAAAGAGAAGTGTACTTCATGTGGTTCATCAAGGCCCTTCCTTTACCAGAGAGCCAGCAGGTAAGCATTGTAGTAAAAAGAGGCTAAGAATAATGAAATGCAGTGGCCCCAGAGGCTGACTGCCTGGTTTCTGAGGGTTGTAGGTCAGGCTTTACACAGACTTACAGAGCTATTAAGGTTACAATAAATTACATACTGGCCAATAGACAGTATTTCCCCAACTGCCCCATTAGATGTACGCAAAGCAGTACTGCAGACTGCACAGAGATTCAGTACAGAAGTACCTGCTCTTAGAGTCCTTTTCATGTACCTTGTACTACAGTTGGTGCTTTCTAGTTTTGATTTTTGTTTCAGCATGGTTTTTTTCCTAGCCCCTTAGAAAGCTGGCTTGTGGGGACCATTCAAACAGCATGCTAATATTGCTCATTACAGTACCTTCTCTGTTGGAATGAGATGCTTTTTCACATTTACAGGATACATCTGTCCAAATTAAGGTTGACACAGCTATGCTGTGATACACTGTATCTAGGAACATACAATACTGAAACTGGTGGATTTCCAGGTGCTAGAATACACAAACAGTACATTTAATAACAGACAAGAATATTTTTTACAACTTGCTTTTAATTTTAAAGTGTTTCACTCCAGGAAGTTCTCTAGCAAGTGATCTAAACCAGTTTCATACGTTTCAGCATCAGGGTCTGAGCAGGAAATGTTTCAGACATTCAGCACTCTTCAGGATAATGTTTTACTTAGCCAAGTTCAGACTTGCTCAAGGTGCAAGCTAGAGTGTGATCTGGCCCATGTAGTTTCCCACTCAGGCTTGAAACAGAAATTACCTTTGGAGAAACACCATATCAGAATATTGAGAAAGCTGAGGCAGCCTCACACTCATTGTCAAGTATTTAGCATCCTTCTAGGGTGTATGTTCAGAAGTTTTGTAAACTGTGTACCCTCCTCTGTTTCAGCAGGTCATGGAAACCAGATCCTTGTGTTAAAGTAAAAATAACTTCACATGGAGCTTGTATTCTACTGCTCTTTATATCAGTGAATCCAAGGACAGGGTCCAGTATCAGAAGGTAGGAAATTTCATCATGTTATGGAGAATGTTTCTTACAAAAAGGTCAGATGGGAGATGTGAATTCCAAGTTTCATATATTGCAGAAGATACCAAAACACATGTAGTCTATGTCACCTGGGATTAAGAAGTGTTTATAGATGATCATTTCTTCATCCCCATTACATGATAGAACAGCTAGGATCCTCATTTTGCTGCAGAAATAAAACATCAAGACATTAGGTTAATTAGCATGTGTACAAACTTAGTATTCATTGCTGGTTACCTACTTGATCCTCATACAGGTGGGGTTTTTTTTGTTTTTTTGTAGTGTTTTGTAGATTTAGTTATTTAATAAAGCAAAGCAGATTTTCAAGAGAGGCAGTAAGTATACCAGATGGTTTAGGGCATGGGGGAAAAAGAAAACAAGCTTTTAAGAACTTGAGTCCATGCATGAGCCTATGCCTTCCTTAATAAAAGGCTATCAAGCTATCTATCAGTACCTCAGTTCTGAAGCATCAGAATGTAACTGGCATGCAGATTCATGCTACCCTAGTTAGGATGGTAAAAACAGAAGCAAAAGCCATGGAAACCTTGCCTTCCTTTAAAGCACAGCATGCTTTCTTTGCATCATTTCACTGCATGCAAGAAGTTAACCGTTTTTAACTAAGCTGCCTTTATTTCAGTACTACCAATGCAGCAGAAGCATATAGGTACTAATGACAGAAGTTTGACAGGAATTCAGCAGACAGGAATGATGTTAACATTTGAGTGGGACTATTAGAATTGATTCTTACCATAAGGGGCACACAACTGTATTATAAAGTTGCTGACTAAACAGATCAGAGGTGTAAGGAAAAAAAATTACTTTTGCTTTCCATCATTGATTGCTGAACAAGCCATATTATTAGTCAATTCAAGTAAAGAGCCTTTAAAAAAAGAACTTGAGGAGAGGCCCTACTCCAAACATGAAAAGAAGCTTGTATCAGTAAGTCTCTTTACAAGCCTAAAGCTTCCACTGGTGTTACTTCAACCATTTTGGTGTATGCTGAGCATTAAGAGCCCAAAGGCCAGAATAGCATTATAGAAACTTTCTCAATAGCCTATTTAACAGGGTCTCACCCTCCTTCAGGGAAAGACTGAAAATATTACAAGAATGTGCATATAAGTCAGGAGACTTTGATAAACATCCTTTAAGCCAGCTGGTATTATAGTAATATTTACTCAGATTTTCTGTTTGAAAGGAAGACAAGGAAAGAACTAAGCAGCAGGCAGTAACTGCCTGTTCTTAGGTACATTTTCTTCAGAAATACAGTACTAAGGTACTTTTAAGTTTTCAAACAGGTGTGTTACCACAATATCTAGGAAATGGTGGTGGCTTTAGGACCTGGTACAGCAAGATGCAAGTCCTCATTGTAACTGTGTAGGATCGGTTTTAGCAAGAGCTGTGATAGCTCAACATGCTGTTTCCGCAGGAGGGAGAGAATGAATTTTAGCTAGGCAACCCTTTGTGCTTAGGGCCTTGGTGTTTGTACTAGCCAAGGGAACTTGGTGCCATTTCAGGTCAAGAAACAAACCAACTCAGGAGTCAAGTACAGTCCGTAATTGTCCAATTATGAGCAGTTTAAAGCCCTTTAAAGACTGCTTCAGCAATTAAAGATACCTGACTACTAGTATATCAAAGTACACTAGGGGCATCCAACATGCAGAGGTTCAGACTTGTAACATGGTCAGTGAAAAGCCATTTGGAGGGGCTTTCCCAGGGCATTACCACATGCCAGTTGTAGCCAAAGGGTTATAAGGCGGCAAAACATGCTTCTTCTATTTGTCTATGTTAATTCCATTGGCATCTGTGCTGAAGGTCCACTTGGGAAGTATTGAAGGGAGTATTTATGACTGAAGCAAGGCTGAGATTCTTATTTTACAGAGCAAAGTAAGAAAAAGTAGTTCCTGGAAGTGAGCTGGAATGGAAGTGCCACAAAGTCATGCTTGAATTCAAGAGGGATTTAGGCAATCAATACACTAAGAACTTTGATTTCAGCCTTTTAATACTTTTGAGTGGAAACACTAGGTTTCTTCAGTGTGAATTTAAGTTATCTTAAGAGCAAGTCAGGGACACTGTTTGGAGTGTCAGATAAGTCACTTCATCCCACAGAAATAACACATTTCTAGTTAGCATTTGTATTCTGTTCTTGGGGTAACAGTTTCGCATTTATTCATAGTCAGATGCTTAGATGGAACAGACATTAAAGCTAGTATTTTTCAGTGTGTCAGTAATAAGAGACCAAACAATTAGTGCTACTATTTGATTATATTCAAGCAGAGAATAAGCAAGATATCAATTCCACTTCTGATGCAAAGCCATGCAAGCTACATCCTAAGTGGGACAAGAGACGCAGCACTATTAATGAAGCAAGTTTTATGAGATGACAAGCATGACTCACCATCTCACCTGCTTAAGGATGCTCACAGGAACCACTATCATGAAACCAAACAACATTTCTTTTTTCTTCTTCTTTTGGTCTGACATCAAGAAAAATGTTAGGAGTTGTAGGATATGGACAGTACTTGGAGAAGTATTTTCATATAGTAATGAAAAGAAATGGCCATTGAACAATTGTGTTGATAGCATGTGTTTAAACTGAAGGCAGCTTACCTGAGATGGAAACTCCATTTCACTTCCAGTTATTTCTTCATAATCATCATCTTGCTCACCACTTTCTTCTCCTCTGGGTACATGCATTATCTTCCTCTCTGCAAGTTCCTAGAATACAATTGAATTGCCACCAAGAATCCTCAAAAAGTAAGCACATCAAACAAGTTAGTATTAGGACAGTACAAGCATTTACTATCTCACTTACCTCACCATCATCTGTGATGAGTGTAACACCAATATTATCCCCAGTTCCCCAAGACTTCTGAGACTTCCAGACCAGATCACTAGGACCTGGGCTTACACCAGCAGCTGCACCCCAGATCTGCAACAGATTTAGAGTGAGCTTCTGAAGAATCTTATTTGTAGTTAGATTAGGGTTCAGTCTAACATACACAACTAAGTACTCCAGTACCAAAGATGTCCAGTAACAGAAACTGAACTACTGTGATCCCTGGCAGGTTAGATCTTTTCAGGACTACCAAGAATGGTGGTAATGGTTTTTTAACTGAAGACTGTTAAACAGTGCAGAAAAAGCTGTTAGTGGCTTCTCCCTGCTGTACAGGTAGCCTTGCTTGGACATGCATACTACCTGAGTCAGAGCCAAGCCATAGTTACAGACATACTCATGGCAGCAATTTGTATATACAAGATAGCCTCTAGCCTAGGGTCACTCACAGATCTCTTGAGCAGAGATTGTACAAACTCTCATAGAGTTTGGAGTGCAGAGTGTAGAATTGGGCTCTTTGATCGCTACCTAAATGCACTTAGAGTATGATTTTAGAGCTAATGTTTACCTTAGTACCATAAACCATGAGCTCAGCATTGCTGAACTGTAGTGGACTAAAGCTTTAGCAACAGTGAAAGTCTTTGCACAACTTGTATCAAATCACAGGAGCATGGGGAACCCTAAGAATAAAGTAGAATATATTGATTCTGTTTGTAACAGCAGCACATCCCAATCTGGGATGATGCAAGTTCAATCCAAGATCTAGCTTTAAAGAAAATTTAATTGTCATTTCAGATCAATTTGTTGCAAGGATTTTTCCATATCCCTCTCCACGTAAAACAAGGATTTTAGTTCTTTAGGCACTTGCAGTATCAATTTAGTTTTCTTTATTACATGAATCTCTATTGCCATCTAACATAACAAGAACAGAGCTCTGAGTAAGTTTCGGAAAACCACTACCTACTGTAACTACTTGGCCCGCTGGAAGAATGAACCGTGAAGGAAATTTGTATGTTACATCTGACACGCTTCCAAGATGTCTTCTTAACACCCATCCATGTAGTGGTTGATCCTGTGGGACAAGAAATTTCTCTCTGCATTAGACCAACACCATATCATACAAGTGCAAGGTTCTTTCCAGTCTCAAGTGTCACTTTTAGTCCCACTCCTGTAGCGTACAAGAATCTGATCAATTTTGAGGAAGGCTTCAAGTTTCCATTAAAGCCTCCCTATGATTTCTCCCAGTACTTCCTTAGGATTAATCTTAGACCCACAAGTTTAGGCACACTTACTTTTGCCTTTTGTTGAAGGGGGATCATGATGCTCTTTACCAGGGAGATTCTGATAAATGAAGTTGGTCATGCCCATCTACCAACTTAAGGCATCTCAGGCTAAAGTGGCTAAGCTACCAGCCACAAGTTTTGGAGCTCTGAGGATTAATTCTAGTAATTCTGGATTTGCAGACTAAACTAGTCAAAGAATTATCTAATTGGTCAGATAAACCCTCTACATGGATTAGACACTGTCAGCTCTATTTACCCTTTTAGCTGTTTTAAGCATTTCTGAGTAATAAGAAGCGGTCATTATCCAATTTACTAAGCACCTCATTTAGTTTGAGGTTAAGTAGTACTTCTGATAGTGCTAGCCTGAATCGGATGACAAACAACTGAAGGTGTTACATTGCTGCATCATAGAACCCAGTGCACATCCCCCCCAAAAGCACCCCCCAGACATCCCTGTGAACAAAACACCTGCAGTATGGAGAGAAAAAAAAAAAAAAAAAAAAAAAAAAGAATCAGTCTCTCATCTTCTCTTACAGCAGCCAGGTTAGCTGAGAAGTCCCCAGTTTGTATTTAGTTTGGCAGTACTCTTCCCCAGTTTGTATTTAGTTTGGCAGTACTCTTCCCTCATCTCTTCATCTTTCAGTCATCTCTCACTAAGCTACAAGTCTGTTCACAAGCAGTCATACTTTGTAATGAAGGCCATGCAGACTTGAACGAAGTACCTCATCAGAGTTGTTTTTAAGCCTCACAAATTTCCCATCTGCATCAATTTCTTCAATAGATACATTTCCAGAAGATGAAGCGTGCTGAACAGTCTTAAATCCAGCACTATGGCCTCTCTTTTTGGCTTCTTTCATTTTCCTTTTTTTCCCATGCAGGAACCGTCGCCCTTGACTTGTTGCTTGAGTTACAGTGCTGTGTGGAGATGGACTGGGTGACAGCTTTAGCCTAGAAGGGAGTCAGATAACATTAACTTGAATATCTGATGTGCTTATTTCTTCTCCCTCCTATCCTCCCACTATAGCCAAGTCTAACAGCTTCTTATATCCAAGCTTTCCATGAAGTCTTGAATATAAGATTTTATTTTTACTGGCAAGAGTAGCTAGGTAGCTTGTTAAGTTTGGAAGACAGCCCCAGCCCTAGAGTTCAGAGTAAGCTTATGTCGATAAGAAAAGATTCCCAACTGCAATAAGTATTCCTTTAAAGTCTCTACAGACACAATCTTTGGTGGAAGTAGTTTAAGTTTTTGACCCTTCTTAGCATGTATTGAGTTCATGTTGTTCTCACCAGGCAGTGTCTGGATAGTTAGGAGTTTCCCAGTTTCATTCATAAAATTTGAGCACTGTCTTTGATATATCTCTAGGATGTAGCACAAAGCTTTGAGAAAGTTTGATTCTAGGGAGGGATGTCAAACAGATCTTTGAACTTGATCAGCTGGGTTTATCAAGTTACTTCATCTTACTACACCATGTGGTGGATGTGGGATATAAATACCATCTACAGAAGATTATGCTTCAAGAACTAAATTGTGGCACTAATCACATACTTAATGTTTATTTCTTGCCTCCTCCACATTCTGAAGGTTAATTAGCATACATATCTTGGATGAAGCAAGTCCTCCTATGAGGATCTTGTCATAGCCTACCGCTCCTCCTCTCCTTCCAGCATCTTTCTGTAGGCATTTATTTCCAGATCTAGAGCCAGTTTCACATCTAAGAGATGCTCATATTCTTCCAACTGTGCTTGTGCCTGCTGCTGGGCTTGTGCCATTTCTTTCTCTTTTTCAGCCATACGCCTTCGATGGAGATCACGATCATAATCTAGTGTCTCCTGTAGCTCCCTTATTCTGTTCTCCAAAGCAACATTCTAAAATTAAGGGGAGGTAAAATCAGTTAAACCATAACTGAAGGTTAGAGAGGAGAGGTCAGTATTTTGAATTGGGTATGCACATTAAAATAATTCTAAGGATATACAAATAAAGATAGTACCTGGCTTTGATATTGATTAACTTGAGATGTCAGAGTATCAACTCTCAGCTTTGTTTCCATCAGCTCCTCCCGAGCAGCATTGGCAAAGTCACTGTTTCTTGCTGCAGATAGCTGGGCATTCTCCATCTATGGTTAAGTCACTGTTAGTAATGAATTGCTTATGACCATGTATTTTAAATAAGGAAGGAAAACCAAGTGATTTCCAGCTGTTACATCTGGAAATAATTATGTTTTACTTAAGTGTGCAGATACCAATGAAGTCCAGGTCAAAGTTTTTCATTGCTTTTCAGGGAGGTTTACACAAGTTTGACATTCATGTCAGAAAAAGTCAGCAATAATCAGGTAGTGTAAATTGCTGGATTAGGATATTTCACTTACAGATGCACAAAGACTTTGTATAGATATTAAGTAAATTGATTCTCCAGAAGAATAGTGGACCACATGTTTAGAAGCTGCTTGTCAAAGCATAGGGCTATAGGATATTAGGTGTGCTTGTCAAACTATTGCTCTTCCTCAAAAGTTCTATTACTAAACAGTTCCTGCATCACTATAAGGAGCACTGAGCTATTTCTAGAGCAATTCAATCTTCAGATGTTCCAAGAAAGGATAAAGTAGAGCCATGCTCCTACAAGAGGCAGTCACAGGATTTCCAGTGGAAACCTGGACAGAAGCATCCAAAGGAATTCACTGAATTGGCATATAAGTTGGAGTATAGAGAAAGCCAGAAAAACCAGGAAGAAATGAACACATGTACTTATTGAGAGAAGTAGCAGATCATGTGATTCTGCACCAAGTATTAAAGAACGCTTAAGATAACAGTACTGCACACTGCAACCAACCCAGAAACCCCTGGCATCTTACCTACCAAGAGTATAAGCCAAGAGTATTGCTTTTTCCTGCATATGTGGCTAATGCTGGGAAAGAGGTGGCAGACCAGTTCTGCAAGACAAACTGTCAAATCTACTTCCATAGCCACCCTCTCCCTCCTTATCCAGTACGAGCGACTGGAAAAGGACATTTGCACTCATACATTTACAAGTGCTCTTGTAGAACTTTAAGAATGTCTTATTTCATGCACTTTATTAACACTATAATCAGTAGATCAAATTTTATTCAATAATACTGAAATTGCAGAATACAAACATAGCACACCTTGGTCCTGAATTTGTCAGACAAGCTCTCAGATTTGTCAGAAGTCTGAATTATGATCAACTTCATTACATTAGCCATTCCTAATCGCTCCCCAAAGGGACAGTATTTATGCTTGAACCAGGTTTGTTTGGGACCAAGTGATCATAGAAGTTCTACTGTCAAATTTGACACTACTTCAAAATTCCATAACAACCTAGGGCAAGGAGCTCTGCACCAAATGCAAGGGCTCCATCAGTCAGCTATTTATGCTAGTGTGACTTGAATTGTATCAAGGTGCAGAGAACTTAAGCTTTATTTATTGGCATCTTCTACAGACTCACTTTTGCACTGAATGTTCGCTCCAGCTCCTCTTTGTATCCTTGAATTTGTTCTTCATGTTGTTTTCTGAGCCCCTGCAGAGCATCCGAGAGCTTACTCTCAAATTCTCTCTGACGGCCAGATTCTATTTCTGCTATCCTGCTCTCATAGACTCTTTTTGTCTCCTTGAGCTCCTAGGAGAAGAAATTTCTCAGAGAATAAGCAAGCCAACACAGTTTGATTTGAGACTGGACTTACTGTACCAGCTTAATAAGTCATTCAATATTGAAGCAGAGTTATCATTGAGTGCATGGTAATTCATCCCTATTCAGATCTTAGATACTCATCCATTAGGTCAGGTACTTCCACCTTGCTAGCTGTGCTGGGTTGATTTGCTTCCTCACCGCTGACATTGCTTAAACTCATAAATGCAGTAGTTTGTATTTAATTTTAAGACTAATTCTTTGAACTTGATGGATTTTTCTGCTTTTCTTTACTTAGAGCACATGCATATACACTTCAGGTTTTTTAAGCATTGTTACTTCACCTATTCTTGTTCTATTAAAAAATTAATAGCAGTTGGTTAGAGAGATTGGAATTTTATGTCACTTAAACCACACACTTTGAGATTCCTTCTGGTCAGAAGGAAGTTGATTTACATTCACATGTTTTTTAGTTCTATGTACTGACTTCTCACACAAAGGTTACCAGACACCTTTGATAAGTGTTAAGGAAGTAGGGAACATAAGTTGCTTATTAAAGGAGATTTAACTTCTTCAATTATTTTAGGTTTCTAGCAAACATCTGGAATCATTTAACTTTAACTGCAATATATGCACTTTCAGTTACACAAAGTAGTATATTGGGATTGTAGTTACCTTCAGAAGTGCAGCCTGAGAAAATTATCTCATATTCCAGATACCTATTGGTACTATGCCAGTTAACATGAGGTTGTGTACTTTCTTCAAGTCTTCCTAGTTAGGTGGATTTTATTGGCTGGTGGACTGTCATAGGTTGACTCAGCTAGTTACCTTTTTAAGGATAAAGCACATCTTAACATTGCTTTTAAGTGCATCCAGGGATCACGGACACCTAAAAAAATCCTTGTTAATAAGCTAAAACATACATCTTCATGAAGGCGCTTCTGGAATGTCATTTGTTCCTGCAAAGTTTTCATATGATTTTCCAGGTCCACCCTCCTCAATATTTCACTGTGGAGATGCTTTTTGGTATCTTCCAGAGACAGCTTCAGCTAGGAAAGACAGACATCAGGTAATCAAAATTAAGAGGTCATTCTTCCAAGCTAAGACAGGCAACTTATTACAGGTGATTCAACTTACTTCACTTAAGCAGTGTGTTTTGATTGCTGTGGGAAGTTGGTTACTCTGTTTAAGTTCTTATTTCAGTGGAATCCAGCATAGTAGCAACAGAAATAATCCTATTTAATTATGTAGATCAGATTTCCACAAGGCAAATATAGAGCAGCCCATAATTGCACCAGCTAAGTTTGATTCCTCAAAGTAGGCTTCTGATGAATCAATTGTACCATCCATGTACATTCCTCCCCTTCACAACACTAAGTATTCCAAACTTCTCCCTAACTTCCAATATCATTTGTTTGATGCTTAATGAGTGAGATTGTCCAAATTTAGCCTATGTTGGCAAACTATTATACACTTCCAGTGTTGGAGTGTGCTGCTTTAATGATACAAGTTTGGGTTTTTTTAAGTTTTCATCTGAAAGATTTGAAATTAACTTACTCAATGATTACATTAAGTATGAAGATACAAAAGCTATGCTCTTAGAAATGCCCTGATAGAGTAGCAACGCAAGCATAGTTCATTTTAGTAGCCCAAGAGCCTACAAAAAAGTAGTCAGAACTTATTTATTCTACCTAGATTTAAGCATAGTGAAGCAGGGTCCATCAAATGCTCTCTTTACTGACACATTAGAGAATGCTACAGGGGCTATAGCAGTACAACATATTTCAACTTACTTTGTCCTTAGAACAAGAGTATTACATACTGTGGTCATAGAATAGAATTAAAGGTACCTACAACAGGTGGAAGTTTTAACGGAGCGACTATCAGTAGCATTTGCTTTTAGCAAGACTGCAGAAATCTTTTGTCCAACAGTCATTGCCATAGATAACAGTCCTTCCCTGCTTTTAAATCTCAGTAATTGGGGAAAAACAGGAAATAGCTTCAGGAACAAAAGCAAAGTTGAAATTCCAGGAACAAGTCTTACAGTGACTACTTGATCCTTTAACTCCTGAAGGTCATGCTCCAAACTTCGGTTCTCCCTCAAAGCTGTTGCTAAGTCAGCTTCCTTCGCGTTCAGCTGAGCATCAAGGTCTCTCATACGAGCCTGTGCCAGGTTTAAATCGGCTTCTTTTTTAGAATTCCTACAAGTGAAAGTTTTACACTCGTAAGTTGCAGCTGGTAAGGGAGAAGGTTTGTTTTGCTTGTGTTTACCTTCACAGGGGTCTGCGGCAGAACTGAAACAGAAGAGAGGTTAGTAACGCTGGCGGTGAGAGCGCAGGGTAGGCTGTAAACCAAACCAGACAGGCCCCTCAGACAAGTATCTTTGTTTAACCAGAAAGATTTCTGACCCAGTTTCCAGCTTGTTTTGTGTGAATCCTATGCGGAAGCCACCTATTTTCCACGGCATTACCAACCGGTGAGGGAAGGGACGGCACAGGCCACCGTCTCGATGGGGAGGCGACCCAGTCACACTCAAAGCCAAACCCCACCAAGACCACGAC